CGTATTTCTCCTAAGACTTACTTATTTGTTCCTCTGTACATACCTCAGCTAATTTGAAGGAGGCAGAATTATTAACCCACACTTTGTGGATCAGAAAATGGAAGCTCTCAGAAGAGGGGTATGGTCTACCACTCCAACCTGAGCCATCAACAATCTCACTTGCACTTTTATAAGAGCCAGCAAATGTTCTCTTTCATTCAACTTTTAACCAATAAAAACCCAAACTCACTGCCATCGAGTTGGATCCAACTCATAGCGACCCCTCCTTGGATTTCCGAGGTAGTATCACTACGGAAGTACATTGCCCAACCTTCCTTCTGAGAAGTGGCTGGTGGGTTTGAAGCACCAGCCTTCTGGTTAGCAATCAAATGCCTTAGGCACTATGCCACCAGTTCTCCACACAGCAGTAAGGGAAACATTTTTAAATTGTGGGTCCCTTTTCCATTTAAACTTCTTCAATGGTTCTTTTGGCTGCTCTCACTATGGGATACAAGGTTGTGGATGAGCTGGCTCCTATACATGTCTCCAATACTGTTCATACCACCCACCCTCTCACTTTATACACTCTGCATGCAACTATCTCCTTTCTGCACTTTGAATATATTAAGCCCTTTCTCACCTCAAGGTCTCTTCTACCTAGATTGCTTTTCTCCTAAGCTTTTCGAATGTTTAACAAGTTCTCCTTTATGATTCAAGTCAGATGTCACTGTCTCAGAGCATTCTTTTTTGAGCACCTAATCTAAAATAGGCCCCATCCCAGTTCCATCTCACATCACCCTGCTTGTTTCATGGTGCTTATACAATCTGAAATTATCCTATTTACCTGTTTATTTAATTGTTCTTGGTCCCCATCAAGAAAAAAAAGCTATATTTTGTTCACTATTTTATGTCCACGGCCTAGCCAGTATATGACATATAGTAAGTTTATTGTAAATACTTGTTCAATAAATGATTAGTCAATGGTTAGACCAGAATTCTTTCCTTGCAATGTTGAGGTATTGCTTCTTTCTTCCAGCAGATGGAGCTAGAGCCACACTTGGTCTTTAGCAGAAGTGGGGGTGTGATTGGCTACACTGAGGGAGTAGGATTAAATGGCCAGCCAGAGGCAGGGTTTGTTTTAAATAATGAAGGAAAGTAATGCTGAATGCAAGCTCTGGTAGCATAGTGGCTAAGGCACTTGACTGCTAAGAAGGCTGGCGGTTCAAACCCATCAGCCTCTCCTCAGAAGGAAGATGGGGCAATCTACTTCCGTAGTGATACTGCCTCGGAAACCCAAGGAGGGGTCGCTATGAGTCGGGTCCGACTCCAGGGCACATAACAACAACAAGAAGTGGATAGGAAGTCAAAACGGCACTTCTTTCAAAGGATGGGCAGTGATGAACTGTCCAGAGGGACCTGGAGGGGCCAATGACCCAAGGAGTTTCTGGGAACCCAGAGAGCTTTCCCATTTCCCCCGTCTGTCCTACCCCAAAACCATACCCCCAGAGTTTGGGAGCAAGAAACTGGGAGAGAGGCCAAGATCTCTGATTTAAAATCATTGCAGTTAGGGGAAACTGAGACCCAGAGAGAAGCATCATAGTGAGTGAGTGGGAGTTGGGTCTGGCTCCAGCCTGGCTCTGGGCTCAGAGTGGGGAGCCCATGATTAAGAATGCATAGACTCTCAGAGCTGCACCCAGGGGCAGTCATGGTTTCAGTTAGGCAGGCGGGTGCCAGGACACACTGGGTGTCTACCAGGTAGACCAGGCAGGGGAAGCACAGGCCAGAAGTGAAGGGCTGGCTACACAGGTGGCCTGTGAGAAGGGCTGCATCTAGATCTGGGGCCACGGAGGTCAACAGGGGTCTCAGACTTCTACTGAAGGCAATGAGGACTCACATAAGGGTTTCTAAACAGGAGATCTACTTGGTTATCTTGGATAGTTTGTGGAAGGAATGTGAGGAGATCAAATTGAAGACAGAGACCAGTGAGGATACTGATATAATCATCCAAGTGAGAGAAGATAAACCCTGAGAAGTGATTATAGGGGTAGGAAGGAAGCTGTTTAGGAAGTAAAAAAAAAAAAAATGGTGGTTATTGGAGTAGAGAGAGAGAGAAAGGAGCCTGATGACATAATGGTTAAGCACTCAGCTGCTAACCAAAAGGTTGATGGCTCTAATCCACCCAGTGGCTTCCTCCACAGGAGGAAGACCTGGCAATCTGCTTTAGGAAAGATTAGCCAAAAACCAAACCAAACACCTTGCCATCGAGTCAATTCTGACTCACAGCAACCCAATAGGACAGAGTAGAACTGCCCCACAGAGCTTTCAAGGCTGTAGTCTTTAGAGAAGCAGACTGCCTCATCTTTCTCTTGCAGAGTGGCTGGTGGGTTCAAACTGCTAGCCTTTTGATTAGCAGCCAAGTGCTTAATCACTGCACCATCAGGGCTCCCTTCAGGAAGGATTACAGCCTAGAAAACACTGGGAAGTTCTATTCTGTTGCATGGAGTTGGTATGAGTCCAAATCGACTCTCTGGAACCTAACAACAGAGGGAGAGGGGAGGTTTAAGGGGGTGTGAGTGGACCTCTTACAAGTATTATCTGAGTTCCTAAGTGCTCTAAAAGAAGCCCTGGTGCTGCAGTGGTTAAAGTGCTTGCCAGCCGACCAAAGGGTTAGCTGTTTGAACCCACCAGCCACTCAGTAGGAGAAAGATGTGGCAGCCTGTTTCCATCAAGGTTCACACAGCCTTAGAAACTCTATGGGGTAGTTCTACTGTGTCCTGTAAGGTTGCTATGAGTCAGAATCAACTTTATGGCAATGAATTTGGGTTTTTTTGTTTGTTTGTTTGTTTGAAGTTCTCTGGCTACAGAGACCAGACCAGCCATTGCCCAGGCAACCTCTGACCTGGGATGGCAGCCCCAAAGGTGGTGGAACCTGGCTTGGTGGTAGTGAAACTATATTAGTTCGCATAATGGCCTAACAGGTCCTATAGCCAGACTGCCGAGATTCAATTACCAGCCCTTCCATTCACTGGGTGACCTTGGGCAAGTTACCAAACTTCTCCACTTCTCTGTGCCTCAGTTTTCTCATATGTAATCATAGTACCTACCTCATAGGGAGGTTATGAGGACTAATTGAATTAGTATTTATTGTTGTTGTTGTTATATGCCGTCGAGTCGGACCTGACTCATAGCCACCCCTCCTTGGGTTTCCAAGGCAGTATCACTACAGAAGTAGATTACCCAACCTTCCTTCCGAGGAGTGGCTGGTGGGTTTGAACCACCAGCCTTCTGGTTAACAGTCAAGTGCCTTAGGCACTATGTCACCATGGATAACAATGCCTATTAATAAGACTTCATAAAATTTATAAATTAAACAGTGGCTTAAGCAGAGCTTCATTAGCAAAATGAGCCCTGTCCACTCCCCCAAAGTAGATCCCCACACTTAAGGTAAAAACCAAGCCTGAAAAGTCTAAACACTTCTCTTCCCTGGGCCTCATTTACCCATCTATAAAAGAAGGAAAAAAAGAAGTTGAGCTGGCAACCTCTGGATCCTACCAGTTTTGCATTTGTGTTGAGTTTTGGGATTTGGCCTAAGTGTATGAGACTCAGAGGTATGCTGGAACAAGCTCCGACCAGCTTGCAAGAGCCTGCTGTTACATTTTCGGGAATTTTGTAAAACGGTACAACTTCTGACTCATAGTGATCCCTATTGGGTTTCCAAGGAGGTAAATCTTTATGGAAGTAGATTGCCCTATCTTGCTTCCATGGAACATCTGGTGGTTTGAATCGCCAACCTTCTGGTTAGCAGCCAAATGCTTTAGGCACAGCACCACCAGAGCTCCTTTCCTTTTTTTTGGGAATTTTGTAAAATAGTACAACTACTGGTAACTTGACATTGGCTTTGGAAGGAATATTTACACCATGGAAATTGGCAAGTGTAACAAACTAGGCTTTTCCAGCTACCCCTTCCCCACAAGTGCTTTTTTTGTCGTTTTTTTTTTTAACCAGGACACTAGGGGTGAGACACTCCCCATCTAACAACCGCTCCCTCCCCAACCCCAGCCAGGTACGTTCTCACTCTCTAACACTGTCACTAACAGGGAGAAAGATTCACAGATTTCCAGTGAACTTACAGGGCTCCAACCACAGTCTAAAGTCAGCCCCAGCACAGCCAGCCCCACCCATGCTCAGACACGCAGGGTGGGAAGCACAGTGCGTGGGCATGAGCAGAACACTGCCTGCTTTAGGCAACTGTTCTCAGACACAGGAGCAGAGGGAGATGGTTCAGATACTGACAGACTCACACACTTGGGATGGAATTCAACTAGCACTCCCCGTTGCAGGACTTTAGCCAAGTCCCTCTCTACCCTGCAGCTCAGTTTCCTTATCTTTTAAAGGAGGACAGTGCTGACTTGGGAAGATGGTTTCAAAGATTAAATGAGAATACCAGCAAAGAGAATGTAAAGCCTCTGCCTGATGTCTGGTACAGAACAGGTATTTGTAGACGTTAGCTGATGATGGTTATCACTTCTCCAGACACATTGCCCTACCTTGTAGCACCCCTGGCTTCTATTCTCTTTCACTATCTGAGGCTTGGGACAGAGGAGCTCAGTGAGTGGCTGAAGACAAAGACAGAAACAGGCAGCCCCATTTTCCAGTTTTTATGAAAATTAGTAACATTAATAGCTCACAGACATACATATATACACACGTTGCTATATACACAGTCATTAAGTTATTATTAGTTTCTGTATAAAACGTTTCCACATTAGTGATCCGGGCTAGGCCCGAGAAGTCCTTGGCATATTCACAGTAGCACCCCATGAGTGGACAGAGCAGGAGGCTGGACCACTCAGCCCACAGTGGGCACTAAAGATGTTCTGAGGTGCTCACTCCTGAGTCTTCGGCTCCCTTCCTGGCACCTGGCGACCAGCTGTTCAGCAAGCAGGTGAGTAGCCCCTGACTCTCATGTAGCCTGGTGACCCAGGCCCCATGCATGGTGACTTCAGGCCCCACAGGAGGCCCTAGAGGATGCTGGCCAGCTCTGTAGAGTCTGTGTCAGAGCAGCCCGAGCTGCTGGCCTCGTCCCTGCAGAGCCAAAGGAGACAGTCTTTACCAGCTGGCAGATCAGTCTAAACCACAAGACCTAGAGAGCTTATATGCTCTAATTCCAGCCTAGAAACTGCTGGTTACACTGTTCACTGTTTTTGCTGCCCGCAGGGCATCATAACCCCCACGACTATGCTCTGAGCTGGCCTGTGTATGAGGCAGGCATTCCTCACTCCATTCTGCTCTCGGGTTTCCCAAGAGGCAGGGCTCAGGAAACACCGGAGATCCTACATGCTAGGAAAGTGGCTCTGAAAAAACCAGCTGCCATCATGTTGATTCTGACTCGTGACTACCCCATGTGTACACAGTAGAACTGTGCTCCCCAGGGGTTTCAAGATTATGGCCTTTCGGAAATAGATTGTCAGGCCTTTCTTCCAAGGTGGTCTGGGTGGGTTTGAACCACCAATCTTTTAGTTAGTAGTCAAATGCTTAACTGTTAGTACCACCCATAGTGAGAACACGGGTTTCAACCCAAGCACTACTCCTTCTTAGTTGGACCAGTCACTATTCCTGGTTAAGACAGTTTCCTCATCTGCAGAGTGAGTGGGAATCAAATGAATAACTAACACCTAAGGCTCTTGGAGGACTGTAGCAGATGATGAATGCACAGTACTTAAAACGTAAGCTCTACAAGGGCAGGAATTTTGTCTGTTCTGCTCTTTAGAACAATGCCTAGAACACAGTAGGCATCCAACAGGAATTTGTTAAATGAATAAATATAAAATTACTCAGCACAGCATCTGGTATACAATTAGGTGTTTGAGAAAGGTTAGCTGCTAATATGAATTATCAGTAGGAAGGGGCAGAAGGGGGGCCACCAAGGAAAGATGTGCAGTAATTAAGTCTGGACTTGGCCACAGGCCAGACTGTCTGACTTGAGGGCTTTGACTGGATGACACCCCTCTTATAGCTCCTGTGCTCCCTCCCCACCCTCACCTCAGGGCTTGCAAAGCCTTCTTGTTCTGCCGTCGCTTTTCTTCGTCAATCGGGTACAGCTTGAAGAGCAGCAGGCCCAGCAGGATGAGAACTATGGGAGCCATGGTCACCAGCATCTTCAGTGTAAGCTTGACACGTGCTGGCTGGGAACAGCCACGAGTCTTGTACCCAGCAAAACTGTGGGCCCAGTGGGCAGGGGAGCAGTGAGAATGGGGCATCTAGAGCCTGCCTCTACCCAATCCAGTCCCATTCTAGGCCCCCACCTCACTTACTCGAGACTGAGGGTGGAGATGCCCAGCGAAACTCCAGAGGCAAACTTGGTGAAAAAGACATAGAAGGAGAAGAATATGGGCTCGGTTCCATGGGAGTGGGGTTGCTTCAGGTGGAAGTCATCAATGACATCAGGCAGCATGGACCTGCACAGGGTGGAGGCAGCCATGAGGACCCACCTGCTTTGCAACCGCAGGCCCCTGCTAGTCCATATGGTGTCTGTGTGTCAGTGAACAAGGGCAGCCTTCTGGGAGCTTGCAGCCTCACAGGCACACAGCTCAGTGAGGAGATGGTGCCTTCATGTGAATTAGAAAAGTAAGCCACTTCCTCCAAGCTGAAGTATCCACTCTTGGTTCTCAGATTTGCAAGTGGAGTGCAGACCAAATTTTAGCTACCATTTTATTACCTTGGTTAGGTATTGCATAGTTCACAACCTGCACAACTATATAGGGTAAACGTGTCCCACCATCAATCTGGACCCACAGAAGGGCCTGGGGGTGGAGAAGCAACACAGAACTTTTTCTCCCAAGGAGCCCTTACCCAGTTGGGTCTACACACACTTACCAGGGCAGCAAGAAGGCAGCTGCCACACTGATGCCGGCTGCCACAGCTACCACATAAGTGACAATCAGGTTACTCTCCATGAGGGCCACCAAGATAAGAAATGGCACTGCTGACTGGGGGAGAGGGTGTGGGAAGCTGGGTCAGCTTGGAAACTCCCTCCAGCAATCTCCAACCCAGGCAAGACCTACCCCTCCAGCCCCACTCACTGAGATTCCAATGTACACAGCTGTCTTCTTGCCAAACCGAGTTAGGAACCACTGCCAGATGGGAATGGTGAATGTGGCCGAGAGCTGTGGGTAGACAAAGGTGGTGAAGAGGGATGAGTTTGAACTGTGAAACCACTCTCTACTTACCCTTCCCAGGACTCCCAAGGTACCCCCAGCCTGCTCCAGCCGTAAGCCAGAAGATATCATGAGCTTGGGAATGGGAAGGTAACAGGCACTTTTGAAGGCTCCCAGCAGAGCTGACATCTAGTCACAATCTTATCTCTGGCTTTTTCATACCTCTGAGCACATGGAAATTCCACAAAATTCTTGGCCTTCACACCTTTGCTTTCACTTGTTTGCTATATCCAACCCCAAGGTCTTTTTTGTTTTTGTTTTTTTTCACAGTCCTACCTAGACAATATGTAAGCCATTTTCAACCAAATACTCTGGGAAGCCTTCCTCATCTCTTCATGATGTTTAGTTAGCCCAGAACATGCCCTCTGGCCATCCGTACCCTCAGGTCCCATACGCACCATGATGGCCAGGAGTAGATTCTGGAACTCATTGCGGAAGCCCAAAGTGTAGGTGCAAAACAAGGCGAAGTTCCCTTCCACCAGCTGAGGAATGGGGTAGAAAACACAAGGCAGGAGGTGATGTCAGGGCTGAGCCTTCCCTAGATGTTCCCCAGACCCCAGTGTTCTCCACTTATCCCATACCATTCCACCTGTCCCTCAGGCTACATCACATCCTGAGTCCTCGGCCTACCAATCCCTACTGTACCCCCCTCTCAGGCTGATAATGTCAGGCCCCCACTCACCATGAAGGCCAGGGAAGTGAAGAGGAAGCCAGCAATGAGCTTGACATATGGGCCATGGCTCATGACCAGCCGGAGGCCACTGAAAAAGGACATGGGCTCAGCCTGCTTGGTCTCATAGGGTTCTGCAGGCCAGAGAGGACAGTGAGAAGGAAGCCTGAGGGGCACAGTCACCTTGTACTGGGGCCTGTGTCCCTCCTAGGTGCCCCTTACCTCTCTGTTCCCGCACGCCCAGGGTCAGGATGACAGCACAGATGACATAGATAGAGGCAATGACCCCTGCTGCCAGTAGGTAGGCATTTTGCTATAAAAGGGGTAAATAGGGCAGAGAGAGACAGTCAGTCTGATCTCCTGCCAACTCCCAGCAGCTCAACTTGATGACCTTGGAACAGTCTCTTTTCTTCTGGGGGCCTCACTGTCTCCATCTGTGAAATGGGAATTATCCTGGGCAGGCTGCTGCTTCCCATGACTGGGTACAGTTGGATGAGAAGCCAGACTGTGGAGTCTGAGTCCACAGTTCCAATCTCCCCAAATCTAGTTTCTGCAATTTTCTAGTTCTACAACCCTGGGGAAATTATTCAGCCTCTCTAAGCCAGTTTCCTTATCTGCAAAGAAGATGTATTAACAGTAACATATCTAAAATGCTCAACATTTAGTAAACATTAGCTATCTATAATTACTATCTTTAGAATAACTACAAACTACCCCCATTGTTTCTCATCTCCCCAAATCCTTGCCCTGCTAGGGAGTCTCACCGTTTTTTTGAGTGAAGTAGTGATGTGGTGTGTGCGATTGGCACCTTCTGAAGCCACCACAGAGCCATTGGAGTCCTGGAGACAAGGTGTATCCGCTTGTCCTACGATTTGCCCCTGAATTGCTGTGCCCAGCACTGTGCCCAACACCTCCACAGTCATCCCTGGGCAGTGGAAAGGAGGTGCTTAGGAGGGGCCTAATGGCTTGTGGGCCCCAAGGAGGAAGGTCAGATGGATGGGAGGCCAGATCAAGTCCCAAGTATGATGGCAGCAGCCCCAGGTAGGGCAGGCATACAGTGGCAAGGCAGATAGTACAATGGACTAGACTCAAGGCCTTGCTCTGTGTGACCTCCAGCTAGTCGCTGCCCCTCTCTGGGCCTCACATGAGCAATGATGGGCAGAGTTGTTTTTAAGATGGAGTCACACATCCACTCTCTGGAGTAGAGTGGGAAGCAGGGCCCCAGAGGGAAAGTATGGCAGGAAGGTCTGGGAGTAGAGGGGCCCAGGGTCCCTGGAGGATGCGGTCTGATGGGCTGGAGACTTACGGTATGCAGTGGCAGAATCTCGCTCGCTCTGCTCTGTGCTGATGAACATGGTAAGAGCTGAGTAGGGAACGTGGAAACACTGGCATGGAAGAAATGGCCTTGGCCAGTCAGATGGATGGAGAGACAGATGCAGCTGTGGGCACCAACCCCAGAAGCCCCAGGGATGGCCCTCACCCCACCCCCAAGAGACGCCCAGGGGAAGTGCCCACACTCACCGTGACCAGTGTCTCAAAGAGGCAGTAGAAAAACAAGTACCACAGAGCCTGGCCCCTCGGGAAGTCAGGCACAAACCAGATGAGGAAGTAGGAGATGATGGCCAGGGGTGTGGAGAAGATGATCCTGAGGAAGGGAGCATCTGAGTGGGGCTGGGTGCCAGAACCCCAGAAGCTTGGCACAGACCTGAAAGGCAGTGCCCCCCAGGGTGCCTGTCTGGAAGGAAATTCCTTCCCTTGAATTCATTCATCCCAGGGCTTCTGGGAAAAGACTAGTGGTCAAGCTAGAAAGGGTAGATGGGGATAGGGTCCCTTAGACCAAGAAATCCTGAGCATGGGATATGAAATTAGACCCTGAGACTGACCCATATCTCCCAGGAGCAAAGATTTCAGGGACAAGAGCTTTGTTGAGAATGGAGTCCAAGGCCTGGGGTGGTGGAGCAGGGAGGAGGAGCAACTGCAACACCCGTGTGTTCTCACACAAACATATACACAATTCATACACAAAGAGAAGCTGGGGGTGGTGCCTACTCCAGGCAAAGGAGAATGGAGAAACCAGCTGGGAAGATAAGGCCTAATGAAGTAACTAACAAAACCAAAAACCAAACCCACTGCCATAGAGTTGATTCAGACTCACAGCAACCCCCACTAGGTTTTCAAGGCTATAAATCTTTATGGAAATAGATTGCCTCATCTTCCTCCCATGGGAGCAGGTGGTAGGTTTGAATTGCTGACCTTCTGGTTAGCAGCCAAATGCTTTAACCACTATACTACCAGAACACCTTACTGAAATAACTGTAAGGGAACAATGTCAGCTTCCTAACTTGTGAGTCCCACACAATCACAAGTGGTTAGACCTCAAGTAGGACGAACTTCATGAAATCAGTATAGAATGGTAACAGAGTGCAATGGTTAAAATAATGGACTTTGGAGCCATATTTCCAAGGATACAGTTCAGGCTCCATCAATTAACTATAAATAACTTGGTCTTGGGCAAGTTGTTTAACTTCTCTGGGGCTCATTTCCTCATCTGGAAAATGAAGACAATAACAGCATCTACTTTCCATTCAACCCCTTTACTCAAGAAGTATTTATTAAATGCCAACTGTGGGCTGGGTACTTTTTGTACTTGGGATACAGCAGTGAACACAACAGACAAAAAGCACTGAGCTTCCATTCTAGTTGGTAGAGAAAAAAAATATTTGGAAAGTCATAAAACATGTTAGGTGACAAGAGCTAGGCAGAAAAAGAAATAAAGTAAGCTAAAGGGGATTAGAAATAAGTATAGGGGTATAATTCACAAGTGGGTGGACAGGATAGTCTTTAAGGAGGGGACATCTGTGGCAAGACCTGAATGAGAGGGAGGAGTTGTGCTGCAGACATCTGAGGCAAGATATGCCAGGCAAGGAGGGCAGCTGGAGCAAAAGTCCTAAGTGGAACCGTGCTTGGCACTTCTGAGGAACTGCCAGGAGGATGGTGTGGCTGGAGTGGGGTGGAATTAGGAGATGAGGCTGGAGAGGAAATGGAACACCAGCTCTGGAGGCCCTTCCAGGACATTGTGAAGACATTGGTTCTACTTCATAGGCTGTTTTGAGGCTTACATGTTGTTGTTGTTGTTGTTATTTGCCGTCGAGTTGGCCCCGACTCTTAGCGACCCCTCCTTGGGTTTCCGAGGCAGTTATCACTACAGAAGTAGGATTGCCCAACCTTCCTTCCGAGGAGTGGCTGGTGGGTTTGAACCGCCAGCCTTCTGGTTAGCAGTCAAGTGCCTTAGGCACTATGCTACCAGAGCTCCTTACATAAGTTGATCCTAAAATGTAGAAGAGTGCTTGGAACACAGTGAGTGTTTGCCATGATTATCCCATTAGGAAAGCCCAGCAGGGGAGGCAGCACTGGGGTAACTAGTATAGGTCGAAGGCTGGCCAACAAGCTGCAGTGGAGAGCATAGGGCTGGAAGTCAGACCTGAGGTCCAGCCCAGCTGCATCTTGGCCTCCCCATGTGACCTTGCTGACACCTTGCCTCTCTCAACACCTTGTTGTTGTTGTTGACATGTGCCATCTAGTCGGACTCGACTCATACCGACCCCTCCTTGGGTTTCCGAGGCAGTATCAAATTTAGATTGTCCAACCTTCCTTCTAAGGAGTGGCTGGCGGATTTGAACTGCCAGCCTTCTGGTTAGCAGTCAAGTGCCTTAGGAACTATGCTACCAGTGCTCCTAAAGCAGCCTTGGGAAGCTCCAAAGTGTCTGTCAAAGTCTTCCTGGTCTGAGGGGGAGGTTTTAAATATAGGTTCAGAGCAGAGGCTGCCTGAAGTTTGGGAGGAGAGAGAGTTCATGCCTCCCAAGCAGCACAGCCTCTTCTTAAGCTGAAAGGAGAAAGAGTGGCAGGATATTCAAGCCTGAAGAGGGACCCAGGTCCTAACTAAACTACAGACAAGGAGAAGGGCACATGCATGGCAGCCTCTCAGCCCATGAGTGATTAATATGAACTCAGACAGAGGTGAGGGTACCACCAAGACAAGTTCTGCACCAGACAGGTAAGGACATGTATAGACACTGTGCTAAATCAGAAATTAGCCTAAAGGGCCCTCAGCAACTTTCCAAAGCTGGTTGCTACACCTGCCCAGTGAGAGTCCCTCAGACTCTTCCTTCCACAGGAAGGGTCTCCTCTGCTCCCCATCCTTGTCTTCCCCTACCTCTCCTGACTCTGGCTTTTTGGTGTCTCCTCAGAGCAAGGGTTCCTTCAACAGCCTTCATCAAGAACACTCCATTCTCTCCTCATAGGCAACTGAGCAGCTACCGCTGAGGAACCCACAAACTATGACTGGAAGTAACCCAGGCTGTGGCTGCAGTACTGGGCTGGGTAAGCAACTGTCTCTTATTGGCTGGGCCTCATGAGGAGATGTGGCAGCAGAGCTCCGCCTACCACAGGCTGCCAGGAGGTAGGCACAGGGCCCAGCCTCACTGGCAGGCTCCAGGGAAGCCCTGAGCAGCTTGCCCAGGTAAGGCACTGTGCTACCCTGGGCCTTGAAGCTTGGATCAAAGGCACCAACCTGGGCCTTAGCCAGGAGCTGACCGATTGGGGTGGGAGGGGGCCCTTGTGGGAAAGGAAGCTGTGGGGGGAGTCAGGGGCTGCGGGAAGAGCTTTGAAGACCGGAGACCAGGTATGGGCGCCCCTGGGGCAGGAAGGCGCCCACTTGAGCCTGGATGGGCTAGAGATGAAAGGGGTATGCCCCCCCATCCCCGAAGCAGGATGTCCTGAAGGGAACAGAGTGCCGGCCTGTCAGCTTGTCTTGTCTGTCCCTCCTGCTGTCTAATCTGATCCGCCCCCTCCACCACCACCCCATATGGCACCAGCCTCACTGCCTGAGGCTAAGCAGTGTAGGCTTTATACCAAGGGAAAAAGTAGTTCATAAAGTCCAAGCGGCCAGATTCCTGGTACTACCCCTACATTAACACACTGAAGGAAAAAAATAGCCAAATTCTCTATCACTTAATATATGCCAGAGACTGTTCTAAGTACTTTATGTATATAAAAACAAAAAACAAAACATATTTCATCCTTCCTGTGAGACAGGCTCAGAGATGTTAAGTGACTTGCCCAAGGTTGCACAGCTTTAAGTGATGAAGCTAGGATTCAAACCCAGGCAGGTTGATTCCAGAGAGCTAGCTTTCAACCATTCTGGGAAGTGATTCAATGGGAGAAGTTAGAATTCCAGCTTCACGGAGGAGAGTGGGCCTTGAGGAACAATAGGGCTTTGGCCCTATAGGGGAAGCTGCCCAGTCTAGCACTTAGGCCACCCTGGGAAAAAACTGGCTGGGCATCTTAGTGCCAGTGCCTGGGGCAGCTGAGATCTCAATTGGGGTTTTGACATGCTTAGGTTTTTGCGTCATTCCTTCTCCTTAGCCTCGGACAAGGTAGGTGGAGGCATATATGCCAAGTGCTGGAAGCCCCGCCTTCTGCCATCTTGAAGAAGCTTCTTCCACTCACCAGGGCATGAGGCGGCCCAGGCGGGTCCAGGAGGATTTGCTAATACAGAAGCCCACCAGGGGGTCTGTGACAGCATCCCAGGCCCGGCCCACAAACAGGATGATGGAGGCAGAGAAAGGGTATACCTGGAAAGCAGAAGAAGCAAAAGATGGCCCTCTCATCCTTCTACAGGTTTCCCCTGCTATCTGAAAGTAGAACGTTCCCATGAAACCTTTTATAAGCTGAAATGGTATAAAGCAAAGAAGAGCATTCCCAGACCCAAGAAATACTCTACCAAATCATATCAATAACACATAAAACCTAAAATAATACTAACATATAGTAAAAGCATGAATGATATGATAAATACATAGCCTATATACAATAGAAATAATGTATGTGTGGTGTAGTTCCCAGGAAAGGAGCTTGGCAATGCTACTCTCATTGCCCAAGGTGTGAGCTGCCTCTTTAATAACTCACTGCAAAATAATGCTGAAAGCTACTTTCACTTTTTGCCTTTTTTCCATAAAAGCTAAAATCCTCTTCAGATTTCTTTCAGTTAGTGAAAAAGCAGGTACTAGTGTAGATCTCTTGTAAAAGTGAAGTGGCGTAAAGTGAACTTTCGAAAAGCAGGGGTTACCAGTACCTACACCTTAAGCTTTACTGGTGGGGAGGAGCAGGGGCTCCCTTCCCCTCCTCAGCCAGGCTCTTGGGTCCCTGGGCTGCTTCCACCTGGGCCTTACACATCCTCAGTTGCCTTGTTAATCATACTGCACTGCACGGCTTCTTATAAGCTTTCCCAGATCTGGCCCCTTGTTCTTCCCCTTTTTTTATTTCCTGCCTTCCTTTGCTGTCCTTGAAAACACTCCTGCCAATTAGAATAAATCTAGAATCCTTTCCTTCCCTCCCTCTCACAGCCCTGAGCTCTGACCACCTGATATCAGAGTTAGCATTAGCTGAGTGACAACAGTGGACTTGTTTCCCCACATGTGTAATGGGAGTTATGATCTCTGTCTTACAGGGTCAAACTTTATCCTGGATATGGAAAAAGAAGTATATAGATGCTTTTTAAAAAAAAAAAAAAATGGCCTGTCACTACCCACTCAAGCTAACCTTCTCCCAACCTCCCCTCCTCAAATATTCTAGGTGCTGAATAGACAGCCTCACTGGACTTCTCCATCCGGGCCCTGTTATATCTATTGCTTCAGGAAACTGGAAAGCTGGTGGCCTCCCTCACACTCCAACCCCCAATCTGACCGCCCCCCCAACTCTGACACTCACTATCACACGGTTTTACATTTTGACTGCAGGTTCCTCATCTTTGCACCCTACTCAATGCCCAGCCCACAGGAATTGCTTGAAAACAAGCTGCTGAGTGTTTCTAGGGCTCAATGTGCCCCACCTGTAAATGGATATAACTAAGATGCCCTATTTGCAAAGTCAGAAGCTATACAAAAAGGGCAGCCAGAAGTGCAAGCCCTGGGATCAATGGCTATTCGGCCTCCCCCTCTCCCGTCCAGACAGGGAGAATTCTCAGGATGCCAGGCTGCTGGCCAAGGCTTCTCAAAGCACAGAGGAGCCCTGCTGTGCCCTGAGTGCCCCTCTCAGTCAAAGGCCCTGTGTATGTGGCACCCCTCAGGCTGGTACTTGAGGGCCCCTCTGCCTAATGACATGCCCTTTACTCTTCAGGTAAAGGTGGAAGGTGCCTCATCCCCCAGTCTGGCCACATGCACCCACCTCTGAACTAAGCCAGCTGACTGTCATCCAGCCAGGGACATGGTGTGCCAGTCTCTTCTTAGAACAGAGTCACCAGCGGGCCCTATTCTTTCTCACACCACCGCCTACCCCTCCAGGCTCTGTCCTTTTGCCAGGCAAGGAGTTAGTTGCCTAACCTTGTCAGCCAAGACTCCTGGAGTGGAAAGACTCCCCTCCCGGATACTTTCCAAAGCTTTCATATTCCTCACATGCTATCACTCTGAGAGGTAGCAAAATAGGGTTTCTGGGTCCTATTTCACACATGGGGAAAATGGATTAACCTACCCAGGGGACCCTAGTCCTTCCTACTGCAGGATGCTGGAGGAGCCATAGAAGGCTCAGCCCACTCACCTGAGCCACGTCCAAGAGGTAGATCTGCAGGAAGAACCCCAGGGCACAGCCTGTCACCTGGTAAGGGGCCCCCCCAACGGCATAGCAAAGCTTGTTGCAAATGGACAATTGTTGCTTCTTCTTTGGTTCCTTCTGAGAAGACAAAAAGGATGAAAAGAAGCACAAACTCCTGGCCTTTATCCTAGCAGATTCCAGAGGCAGGATCATCCCTGCAGCCATCTCTACCAGGACACCAACTCTGCCTGTTCCACCAGGGAAGGCCCCTCTTCCCAAAAGAAAAGAGGAAGGAATTCTCTGTTCTAAAGGTCCCTCAAGTAGCCCCCTGCCCCCATTTCTGGGGAAACTGTTATCAGGACACCATCCCAAAAGAGCTCCCCACAAGGCCCCAGACATTCTCCTTCCCAGCTCACGGAGGGGAAGCACACTCCAGCACAGGACCTGTCCCTACCTGGCACCAACTGCCACAATTTGAAAATCCTCTTGCTGTCAAGAGCTGCCTGAGCCCAGCCCAGGCTCCTGCCCTGGCTCAGAGGCCAGGACTCACTTGCCTACTAGGGGAGAGCTCTAGAGATCTGTAAGGACCTGGTCCAGCTGGCTGCTGACACAGCTGTCTTCCATCTGTCCCAGAGCATCCCTGGACCCTGGAGGCAGCCAGAGCTTCAGGCAAACCTAGGAGCTGTCCTCCATTTCTACCACTCCCAGTTCCCAGGGGACCTTGGAGAGAGGAAGAGAGGCCTCCAGGGGCAGGGCTGGGCCACTCCGGGTGGGGCACCAGGGAGGCTGAGGTTGCCCAGGGAAAGTAGGGATTACACATACATAACAGCAGCATAATTGCTCACCCTAGTTCCTTCCAAGAATCAGCTAATAAAACTAAAAGGAGAAGGTGGCCACCTCCCAGGCAGATCTCTATTGCCTGAGATCTCTCCCTGGGGCCGCCTCATTTCTTTCGGATCAGAAGGCTAGGGATGGGGCCGATTGTGGAGAGGTGCTCAAAGTACCTAGAGTGCGCATGCACATACACTCACACAAACGCCTGAGGTCTGCGGTTTCTTTGAGAGCTGAGCCTTGTTCTTATGAATGAACTTGAGCGGCCCTCAAAGTAATGGGGCGAGCGTAGGCACGTGGGGGTAGGGGGTGAGAGAAGGGGAACTATGGGGAGTTTTCCAAGTTTCTGGAGTCTCTCCCGCTCCTAGGGCGCAAACCTGAATCACCCCGCAAGGAAGAATCGAAACCGGCGAGGCAGAGCCGAGCACCACTTGGGAGCTGCCGGCGGAGCCCCTCCGCAGAAATGCGGAATGGGCCTGAGAAAAGGGACCCCCGTGCCTAAAAACCTTCTCCATTACCCCTTGCCCCCAGGGTACCCTCAGCCCGTCTCCTGCCTCTAGGTCCGCCAGTCCCCGGCTATCCCAAACCATCCTAGGACCAGCCTATCCTCCGACGCTCCTATGTCCCCATTGCAGCCAGCCCGCCAAACCTTGCCCTCCGCCAAGGGTGCCGGGCCCCATCTTCACCTGGGCCGGCCGTTCACCGTTTTGGAGGATGCTCGTGGGCAGCAGCCCCGCCGCTGAGCCGCTCTCGGCGCCCTCTCCTTTGGCCATGACCCGTGGGCCAAGCCACCTGGGTCTAGGACTCCGGGATGCTCCTCTGCTCCGCGGGCCTCAGCTCCCCACAGGCTCGCTTCGTAGCCGCCGCCGCCACGATCGCTGAGCACTAGCAAAGCCGGCCGGCTAGACACACACTCTTTTGCACGCCCTCTCCGCCCCTCTTAAAGGTTCGGTCCCGCCCTCTCGGATAGGGCCAATCCCTAAACTCGACTGCCCCGCCTCTAGCCAATCCCCATGACCGCCCAGCTCTCCCGCCTGCCCCACCCGCCCGAAGACGCAGTGCCACTGAGCCAAGTTCCCAAAGCCCGGGAACCTGCATCCGGCTAGTTTGCTTCAGGCAACCCCAAGAAAAGGCGGGAGACTCACCTGGCACGCTTGGGGAAACTGAGGCCTGAGGCTGAAAGAGACCTAACCAAGGTTCCCTACAGTGAGTTCTCCTTCAACAGACCTCCACTCCAAGGCTTAGAAAGGTGGGGCTCGGAAGCCTATTGTTGTTGTTATGTGCCATTGAGTGGGACTCGACTCATAGCGACCCCTCCTTGGGTTTCCGAGGCAGTATCACTACGGAAGTAGATTGCCCCATCTTCCTTCCGAGGAGTGGCGACGGCCCCCTTTGAAATCTAGACTAGGGTCACCGTCTCTAGACCCGAAGGACAGAGTGCGACACCTTACGTAGCGATGCCCCTTTCTCATCCCCCAAGAGCAACCATCTGCGCCATTGGCATCTTCCCAGCCCCAGGCCATGAGGAAGAAAGTTGAGGTCACCCAGCCCCCTCACCTACCGCAGGGAGCTCATGAATTATGGGGAGGAGTTGGGACCATATCCACTTGTACACTATGATAGTAACAGCAGCCTTTTATGGAGAGCTTCCTCCATGCTTACCATGATCTCATTCAACCCTCACAACCACCATATGATGGTGGGACTATTATTATCCCCATTTTACAGTTGAGGAAAGGGAGATTCAGAAAGAAAACAGCTGTTATGTGGCAGAGCCAGGCCTGGACAGTTTTGTCTAATTACAAAGCCTTCACTAACAGCCCTGTTCTGTCTTGCTCTGCATAAATTAACAGAAGGCTGAATGGAGTACATGTGTCCCCCAAAAAGAAGCCTTGGGGGGTGCAAGGCTATTGTTGCACTCTGGGTTAAAAGAATCAAATAAAGGTTCGAAAAAGCAAGTGCCATGCAATCTGGTCCTTGAAAGAAGATGGGAGGACATTAGTTTAGAACAGAGCTTTGGCACAGATGACAAAAAACAGTTTCTTCTTCTGCCTCTGGGTCCTTTAAGCCAACATCACTCAGTCTTCCCACACTCTCAAGGGGCCAAGTGGAAGTTAGTGAAAGGGCTGCTGGAATTTTCAAAGGTCATTCATCCCAGTTTTTGTGGTTGCTGGATGTCAGGCTTCTTTTTACTTTCTTTAAGTCTCTGATTGCAGGGTACAGATAAGCCTGGCATATCAGGCTTCCTTGTATGCCCTAGCAAATCCCATCTGCTGGCCACACAGCTCTTGGCCACCGCTGAGCAGAAATAAACTCAAGTGAAGTGGTTCAAAGAGCACATGCTGGTGCCCATGGCTCCACCATGGGCTGTGTGACACTGTAATGTCTCTTCCACTCTCAGGGGTTCAGTTGGATGAGGTGGACTCTATGATCCTTTCCAACACCAAAATTTTCACTTCCATGGAATTATACTGTATCACAAGTGATCCGGGTCACCCTCAAGAGCATGAGGTCTGTGAAGGTAGAAACCACATCTCATTGACTGCCATATCCCCAGTACCTAACTTTGGGGCATCTCATATTGTTGTCATTTGCCATCAAGTCAATCATGATTCATGGCAACCCTGTGCTGTTACAGAGTAAAATTGCTCCACAGAATTTTTTTGGCTATAATTTTTACAGAAGCAGTTTGCCAGGCCTTTTCTTTCTCAGTACCATTGGGGAAAACCTTTAGAACCAGTAACCTTTAGTAGGAGTTTAATAAATATGTGTTCAGTTGTTGGATATTCAATCTTCCTCAAGCACAAGGACAAGAGGGGACCATTTGGAAAAGCCTCAGGCTCCTCCATTTGTTAGCTGTGAGATTAATCTTGAGCAACTCAATTGGCCTCCCTGTGTGTAACATGGGGGTATTAATAGTACCTACCTGATAGAGTTGTTTGGAGGATGAAGTGAGAAAATGCACAGGAAGCGCTTAGCATAAGTGCCTGGGAGCTGAGGCTGGGCTGGTCCCCCCTTCTGGCCTAATTCCAGTCTGTCAATGTAGCAACGCAAGATTCCAGATATAGCCTGACCAGCCAGCACAATGGGCCTATTATTTCCCCCAGTCTGGACACGACACATTGTTAATGCAGCCTAAGACTGCTGGGCTTCAGAGCCTTTCTCTCCCATGATTAGTTCCCATCAGGTTGTGGTCAACTAAATCATTCAGATGCTTTCTACCAGCATTGGGGTCAAGTCAGGTCTCCTACCCCCCAACCCCCATCCTCTGCTTTGTGCAGTATCTTGAAGTAGGACAGTGTCATCTTGCTTATTCCAGCCTGTTGAAATGTTTTTGAATCCTGGTTCTATTGTCCACCATTTTCACTCGCTCTCAAATTATACATCTAGCCTGCGCCTTGCGGATTCAACGCCACCATCCATGTTGTTGATCAGGATGTTTTTGTTGTGTTGTGTAGCCCATTGGAATTCCTTAGCTGAAATCTTTACAGGAACAGATTGCCAGGTTTTCTCTTCTATGGCATCACATGTGGGTTCAAACCACTGACTTTTCCATTAGCAGCTGAACTTTTAACCACTGCGTCACCAGGGCTACCAATCAGGACAGAGCCCTATAACATACCATGTGACACATCCATTCTCTATTAACTCAGGGTACTACTAATGCAACAGCTCCCAGTTATTGAGCACCTACTGCATGCTGAGCAGGCACTATGCTAAGTGCTTTATGCTCACCATTTCATGTACTCTTCATGCCACCACTCGGGGGTAGTTTTTATCACCCTCATTTTACAGATGATGAAACTGAGAATGAGATAGGGAAAGCAAGGACCAGATTTTATAAACCCAGAGGCAAACCCCTTATTCTCACAATGAGCTTGATTGCAGACTTGTCACTCAGAGATGTCTTCCAGGTACCTACAGTCCTGACCACATGTCTATATTGGCCCATTGGCCATTCTCCTTCCCACACCAACCCCCACACCAGACCTAGAGCCTAAGGTGCTTAGCTGAGGCTCTAGTCCATGGTGGACACAGGGCAACCTCATCAGTTCTATTAGCCTCAGGAGCTTGGAGCAGAGACTTGGGCCCATTCTTTGTAGCAACAATCTTTTCACCTAGGACAGCAGGGACAAGGACTTCTACCTGAAAGGCAGACAGACAGCTTCCCCCTCTGGTAGGACCACTGTCCTGGCCATCTGTGACCCTTTCTAGGTCTAGCTCAGCCTCATAGCATAAGGCAAATGAATTTAAGAGTTTCCCTTAGAGCTCCCCACCTGCCTGTGCCCTCACAGAACAACAACCCCAGCCTAGTGAGCTTCCTCATGTGCCCAAGCATGCTCCCCTAAGGGAAACTGAGGAGGCCATCATGTGCCCTGAGCTTCCCGGGAGGCAGAGCAGCAGAGTTAAGTGCAAAGATTCCAGAGATAGATTACCCAGCTTCATAGTCCGGTTTTACCATTACAGTTTACTCTTGGGCAAGTTATTGAATTTCTCTGAGCCTCCATTTCCTGTCAAATAAAGATAATAATTGTACCTATCTCATAGAGTTAACCTGAGCATTAAGTTAAATACCTAGAACAATACCTAGCGTAATGTAAGCACTCAAAAAAGGTTTATTATTAACGTGAACAAATGCCCTGGACAAAAGCTCACCAAGTAAGGCTACTTAAGTCAGAGGGGAGAAAACTTGATGGCAAATGGCTGGGGACTAGATTGAAGTCTAGTGACTCCAGCTGATATTTCCAGTGCAGTGGGATACTGTCAGGGCAGTTTTTACCAGGTAGTGATGTTGAGGTGCTGTTGCTAGGATATATATTGTTGCTGATTGAAAGTGTTGTCAGGCATTATAGCTTTTGGTATGTTATCCAACGGTAAGATCTCCTCAGTGCTCCAACTGGCAGACTCACCACCCTAACTTCTGGAGAAAGGAGCCCAGCCCATGCCTTTAAACATGCTTAGCTCAACAGCCACCAGCAAGATTCCATCCTGGGAAGTGGTGTTGTAAGAACTGAGGCAAGGGAACGGCCAAGCTGAAGAAGTAAGGGTTGGGCAGACCCTGGAGCAAGGGCTTCCTGGAACAACTGCTGTGTTGGGGATGCCTCAGCCTGTTCCCCACCTGGCTCTTTGTTTGCCCTATAGGAAGGAGGCAGGGCAGAAAGTTGGAAGGAAGGACTCTTAAAGGCCCCAAGAGAGGCTCTTTGGAGAGGAAGTATCTAAGGATCCTTGAAACCACTTGAGGCTCCTAGTTCCTGCCTGGATATTGATTGGGCAATTGTGGGCCAGGAGAGGCTTCAAGAATGATCCATCTTATCTCAAAAGGCTATGGACCTTTCCACAGGGAGGCTGCCTGGTCTGGGCTTTGGGTCTTGGCTGGGAAATGGGTCTGACTTCTGAGCTTTCAGTTCTCAGAGGACTGAGGGACATGAAGAGTGCCCAGAGAGTCCCTGGAACAGCTGATGCTCCTCCTTCTGTGTCCCTGCATCTTCTCATTCTGAGTTCCCTAAAATTCAAGGTCCTCCCTGGAAAAGAGAGCTAGCCTTGCTCCTTCAGGAAGACTCTGAATGCTGGAAAGATGTAAGAATGACAGAATGGAGGAAGCTGACAACATCAGCCTCAGATCAGAGAGCTATGTCACCTGAAACCATGGTGCTACTCTACGGGAGCTGTGGTGATTGGGCCAACCTACCAGGTGCCTCAGGACGCACTGGATCAGGTGAGATGCCTTGGCTCTCCTCTCAGAGCTTGAAGTTGTTTGCTGGATTCAGGCCAG